TGAAAATTATTGAAACGAATCTAATTTTTTTTGTAAAGTACAATAATGTTATTGAGATGAGTTTTATGAACGTGGACTTGGCGCAATTTTTTACAGTGAAACTGTTTTTGTTCAGATTGTTAAATAGTTTAAATGTTTATAAATAAAAAAAAAAAAATTGGTCATCCGGCCAATTATGCTGGCTGCCCCTATATGAAATTCGAGAAACACCAAAGGATGGAAGAAATTAAGTATAAAAACAAAGTGCTGAAGAAAAAAATTGAAATGGTGAATCGAGGAATCAATCCACAACTATCATACGCCAGCGCTTCTATCCCACGAAGAGACGCTTTTCCTCCTCTGAGGACTCCACCAGGAGCTGCAATGCTCCAGAGAGAATTCCTGCCACCTGCAAACTCGAACTCACAGGACTACAGACTCCAACCAAAATATCACCAGCAGCAGAATCAGCCGCCCAGAGATGAAAATAATCATCAAAGCTGGGCACAACAAATCAAAAATGAAATGAATGACATTTTGAATGCCATTAAAGAATTGACTGCTAATGTAAATAGCAGTATAGCAGCTAACAAGCGAAAGATTGACTTCATAATCGGCTACTTGAACCTCGAATATGTGTAGTACATCTTCAGAGAATAACAACAAAAACGAAACCAGAGGACTACCAAGTCAAAAAACAGCTATAAAAATTATGGCGATAAACACCAACTCTCTTCAGCACAACCTCAAAAGATACGAGCTGCACAGCAGAACTGAACAGTATAATCCAGATATCGTCTTAATATCAGAATCTAAACTAACCAACAAACACTACCCACTGTCACAAACATACAAAATTGTTCGAACAGATCGCCCAAACTCAAAACAAGGCAGAGGCACGGCGATCATGATCACAAGCAGCATGAAACACCAAGTCAAAAGCTACCCGACATCCTTAAATAATGAACTATTCGAATTTACGATAATTCAACTTCTACCAGAGACACTCTCAGATAAGAAAATTTTCGTCATCAGCGGATATGCTACAAACTCAAACAGAAAAATATTCATAAACGAACTTGATGATCTACTACAACGGCTTGACCTGAGCAACCCGAAGCACTTCTTCATCCTAGCGGGAGACTTAAACGCTCGCAGGATTGAATGGGGAGATTCCAACGACAATCAAAGAGGTAAATATTTAAGAAGATGGGAAACTGAAACTATTAATAAATACAGAGCATCGATATATACTACAGACGTACCATCGTTCACTCCAGCGCAAACGTTCCTAGATGTATGTATAACTAATCTCTCACTAACCGGCCTCTCGGCTGGCAACAAAATCACGACAGTTGATTACGACAGCGATCATAGAGCCCTGCTCTTCACCGTAATACTGCCGAGTAAAATGCAGACCGAAAACGACATCCGAATCCCAAGGAGAAACTTACGTGCAATAAAATGGAAGAAATTTGAAAAGAATCTTAATGCCGAGTTCACGCAAGATCTTCCTGATGACAGAAACCTATCAGTTCAGGAACTTGATGACAGCATCATTAACTTGACGTCTGCTTTGGTCACCTCAATGAACAAAACTGCGCCAACAATTAAACAAGAAGAAGGTATTCTCAAATATTTGAATACAAAAATAAAAAAGCTACAAGAAAATAAGACCAAGGCAATTAAACTTCTACACTCGACCCAGAATTCAAGCAGTCTGAACTGAATTTTATCCTAAATTTTAAGGCTTTTTTTTAAGTTGAGTTTGTAGCTTAAATGATATGAAACTTGGACGGAGTTTACAACCCTTCTCCAGTATAGAAAAAAATTAATTTATTCATACAATTAAAAAATAAAAAGAAAAAAAACTGAAATGACCTCGAAAGAGCAAGAATTTATAAGAAAGTTGTACTGCATTGCGTTGCCCAGCCTCGCCATTATGTGTATCAAAAAATGTAATTAAAGCTTGTTTTAGTTTGTTTAAGCATTAAATAGTTTTAAGGAATAATTTAAAATTTTATATGGGTTCAATAAAACAAACATTTATAAACTAAAAAAAACTGATATGAAACTTGTATTTTGTCAAAACAAATAAACTTCTTTAAAAAGAAAAAAGTAGTGTGTTGGTCTTTAAAGCGTCAGGTCCCCGGTTCGATCCCCGCTCGCGGTGAATATTTTTTATTTTTCTAGATATAATTATGTCTAATTATATATGATTATATATGATTAGATCTGGCCAATTTTCAGATCTAATTATATATAAGTAATTATATATAACTACATATGATTAGGCAAATTCATTTTTTTCCGGGATGGGAATGGTTCCCATAAATTATGGAAACCATTCCTATAATAGTATAGAAATGATTCCTATAGCATTATGGGAACTATTCCCATAATATTATAGGAATAGTTCCCATAATATTATGGGATTAGTTCCCATAATGATATAGGAATAGTTTCTATAATAGTATAGGAATATATAGTTCCCGTAATTTTCTTTCCGTGTACTATTTTTGTATAGTAGGTAGTATAATTAATTTTTCTCCGTGTATAGTATTTTTAACAATTAATAATATTGTAATTACTTTTGTTTAAAAAAAATTAATTTGTCTGGAACGAATTTAGCGTCGGCGCGTAAGTAATTCAACGCGATGTAGCTTTTTCATAGCAGACCCTATCAGGGTCGTCCATTACGGACATCACTGCGTGCAGAAACTCTTTGTTGACTCACTCATCAACATTGATCAAGAAAAGCATACAGTTATTGATAAAAATCAGTCTAATTCCAAACGTCGTTCAAATATAATCCTCGAGGGGAGACAATCTTTTAAATAAAAGTTTTTATAGTGTACGTCAGTGTTTCGTTGTTTGCGCTGTCAATTTAAGTAAGTTTTTTTGACGTTTTTTTAAATGCATGGTTCATTTGCAGGCACAAATCACTATTGTTATCATTAAATTTAATTTTTAATCCCATTAAATATATAAAAAATTTATATTTTTCCCGAATAATTAGCGTTTAAGAAAGCTGGGTGTTTAAATACTTGACAAAGACTGTATATATGTAGTTTGCTCCTCGATCAATAGAAGTCTTTGTTATTACTCTGATTTTCGTTTTGTTTTTTGTTGCAAACAGCATTAATTTTATGGATTATTTTGTAGTTTGTAAGTGTTACTGTCTTATAGGTTCCTTAATTCAATAATTATACATAAATAAATGATTGACAATGAAATTTAATGGTTTTTTTTTAATGAAAACTATTCATTATCAGTTGTTGACCTCAATTACGTCATAAGCATTGTTTACGTTATTAGCCTACCATGTGATACGCTATTTTTAGTTATATTGAAGAGAAAAATAATTGTACTCCAAATATAACGTAGATTTGCAATTTATAATCCTTTGTACAATTACTCGATGAATACTCGTCATGAATCATAAAAAAATTCTCTTTGTGTGCTTTAAAGAGTTGTTTAAACATTTATTTTAACGTTTAACATGATTCAAGGTGATATTGATTATCAAATTATCTAAAACCTATCATAAAATAGACCAGGAATTTTTTTTATATACAGAAAAAACCGATCATAGTTGCTTGTTAACAAAGTTTTATCAACAAAAAAATATTAATGAGATAATTTAGTTAAGTGGAAGAGTCAATTAACTAATCGATTGTGATGGGATGATAAAATTTTATCACAAAAGGGTATAATGCTTAATTAATTAAATTGTACACTGAGAAAAAAAATACTTTTATTAAGAAAATTTTCTTGATACAAGAATTTATGTTCTTGAAAATTTTCAAGAATATTTATTCTTAGCTCAAGAAATTGTTAAATTGATTGAAATAATTTTTACTTAATTTAAATAAAGCTATTCTTTTGTTTATCTATTATCCAAAGATAAATATTGATGTTCTTCTAATCAGAAATTAATAATTAATAATAATAATAGAATATTTGATCGTCAGCGAGTTTCTTGAGCCAAGAAATTGTTAATTGAGCAAAAGTATTTTTTTTTCTCAGTGTAAAAGTAAAAATTTGTACTCTTCAATATTATCATTATTTTTATTATTTGTTATTTAAAGTAACTAATGGTTTAATTTTAGTTTTTAGATTATAAAGTATTTAAGTTAAAGGACTTTAAACTGTGTTTAATAATATTATTTTGTGAAGAAACAAATTTTCTATCAAGAAAGTTCTTATTAATTTTTTTGTCAATTTTCGTTTTTTTAAAATGGATTATAATTAGAAAATCATAATAACTTTGATCAATATATCCTCCGTAAAACTAAAAGTTTTTTAATTTTTACTGGGTTAAGGAAGTACGAGCGAATCTAATGTAAAAAATAATTTCCAACTTTGAGCTTTGAAATTAAATATACGTATAAATAAATACATCATTTATTTAATCCCAAAATTTTAAAAAGATTCACTATTTAGTTACTTAGATATTAAATTTTAAAAATCACACTTTTTATCTCCTTATACACGGGCTCTTATGGCGGACAAACTTTTGTCGAGACTTTTAAGATTTTTTTCAATATTAACCTTCCAACTTTAACGAATAAAAAACTATATACAAGAAACTTGGATTATTGCAAAATATAAAAACAATTGAATAATAATACATTACAATATAATTTTTTAAATTTTATGTTTGTAACTCGTCTGTCGTCAGCCATTTATTCGAATAAAGATTTGACAACATCGCGTCACAGCTGAAAAATAAGAAAAGGATAGAAATATAGTTACAGAGAGAGAAATGTTAAACTCACACACTCATCCATGTATCTGTTATAGGTATAATCAAGCGCGCTATCGCCAAATCTGTTTATTTACTCCGGCAAGTAATAAATACCAAAGTCATTTTATTACTTTATTTTATTAAATAAGTAAAAATCATCAATTATTAAATTGTCCAAATTATTTTAAATTAAAATAAAGAATTTTGATGAATATTGGGAAGATTAAAATTAAAAAAAAATTTCAACATTATTTTGACTCATTAGTTACGCTCGTACTTCCTTTTTAAATATTCAAGCGATATATAAGCACATTGGTGGGAAATCTAAATTTTTATTAAGAAATCTATTTTTACGTCGAAAATTTTCATAGTTTACGACGTTAAATTTGTTGACTATGAATCACCAAATTCAAGGCTCAATTTAAACAAATTAATTTTTTTAATTTATAAAATTGTAGATTCATGTTTAATTCAATCGTCTAAGCCCTTCAAGATTAGTGTCTATCTTTCCATAAAATGAAATGTTTTTCGATGTAACATTCTCAGTTACACGGAAAGAAATTTATAGGAATCTTTCCAACAATTATAGGAATGGATCCTATAATAAAATTATCATTATAGGCATTAATCTTATACTCATTATGGGAACCATACCCATAATTTATTGGAAACGTTCCTAGACAATAATGGAATAGCTTCAATATATTATAGGAATGGTTCCTATAATATTATGGGAATGACGCACATAATAATAGAAAAAAGTTTATTTTCTTAATAATGAAGCAATCACTTCAAAAATATTAAGTAATTATTATGTATTTTTTTGCTAATAAAATTTTTTTTTGTAAATAAAAATTGATCTTTCACGAGAGTTAAAAAATTTCTTTTTCATAATTTTTATTCACGTGTGTACTTAATCTTGAATTATTTATTCCGGCTCAGTTATTATTGTGTTAAATAATATTGAAAAATGTTGTAGCAATTTCAAAGTTTCTCTAATGAAAAGGATATTTTCTCACTGTACAATTGTAGGAGCAAAATAGATATGGAAATTCATTGTTTATTTTCACAATTTCATTTTATTTTTAAAGCAAATTATTTATTTAAAATGCATACGTTGAGCCGCGAAAACATTTGAAAATTTGGAATTTCAAAACAATTGGAAATTTTATGTTATTTCAGAAATTTTTTTTTTTCTAGTAGAAATTTTTTTTTTAACTAACTTTTTTTTTTTAATTAATTTTATTTTAATTTACAAGCATATATACCATTCAAGATTAAAAAAATATCAACTGCTACAACGGATTAATTTAATAATGATAATAATAATAAATATTATTACCGATAACTTTTTTTATCAATTTATATACTATAAAAAAAGAATCACTTAATCAAAAAAAAAAATAAATCTAGTGAAAAGTAATTAATTAAATACCACAGTGGTGTGAAAAAAAATTACTCCAATATTATTGGCATCATCCCTATAATATTATGGAAACTATTCCTATAATATTATGGAAACTATCCCTATATATTATGGTAATCATGCCGATATTACAGTTATAATTATACACTGAAAAAAAAGTTTTTTTCCTCCTAGAAAACTTTTCCCTGTGGTTAAAAAAAAAATCGTTCCTATAATTATAGGAACTATTCCCATAATTATAGTAACGTTTACCAAAAATTATGGGTATAATTCCCATAATTTAAGTAATCGCTCCTAAAATGGTATAGGAAAATATTTCATTAAAATTATAGGAATGATTTCCATATTTTTCTCTCCGTGTAGTTTTTATTAATTGACGATTATGATATTTATTTAACGCATAGATTGAAGCTCTTGTGTTAATATAAGAGCGTACTTACAAGATATTTATTTTAAGCTAAAAATATTTCCGTATTTAATTTTTTAAATTATTTCATATAAAAAATTTATTTTTTGGTCAAAATACATTTAATAATTATTATATCATAATTATTTTTACATAAGCGTACTCAAATATTCACAATTTTATTAATTATTTTCAGAAATTGATTGTATTATATATATAAAAAAAAAAGATTTTTTTTTGTTATGTTCGATAGCATATGATACGTTTTTTAATATAAAAACTTAATAAAATAAGAAAAAATACTTATAAAATGTTGATGATTCTTTTGTACAAGTATAATGTGATGATAGCTCATAGATTAAAAACAGCTCATTGATTTATCAGTCAGGCACCTAGAAATCAAAATAAACTCATTTAAAAATCAGTTGTTGTAACTTATATTTATTATTATATTGTATATGGTAGCATAATAAAATCTGCAGTGAACGTCGCAACTCGCAGCAACGTGAGATGGTATTAGTTATGTATGGTTTTATTTACTATGAACACGCGGATGTTTGCTGATGTGCACGTGATCCAGTCGTGAGTCGGTGGCAGCATCGACCGCTTAACTTCTCCTTCTCTGCTTTTTTTTACTTTCCGCTCATATGCCAAGCACATATATGATTTTATATTGTTTTGTTAGAGTAAATCTCTAACAAATTAATTTTTTCTTGGAACTAATTTTTTGGTTTATTTATATTTTATGAAAATTAAGTTAGCCGACATCTAAAGATTTTTATAATTTTTTTTTCATTGAAAAAATTATTACAAATTAATAAAAAAAAAATTTCATTTGTAAAAAACTTGAAGAACTATAAGTGCAATTTTTTAAAAATATTTTTTAGTTCTAATTTAATAAATTAAAAAAAAATCAAAAACTCAAAAAAGTCGGCTAACTTTAATATCATTTATATTTTACATAAAATACAACGATTTTATAAAACTATATAAAGAATAATTTAATTATATCATAAAAAATAAATAAAATTTTCTATTTTAAAGTTATTTATTATTCTAATCAATTTACAACTTGAACTTGTTTACAGTACTCTATTATGTGTAGCCTTGAGTCTCCTGTTTTCCATCGCTGGAAATAGAAAATAACAGCGACGGATTTTGTGTAATATGATAAATAAAATTAAATGTTATTCAATTGCGTACTACGCTTATTTTAACGGGAATAAAATCAAGAAGACATCTAAATTATTAATTTATATTTTTCACCGCACTTAATAAAATATTAATCTACTTTTAGCACTTAACAAAACTAAATTTTTAAACTATTACATTATTTTTAGATATGTGTCGACGACTTATGACTAAGTCTTATGCTTTATAAAAGAATATAAATAACAGTTTTTCAAATGAATAACAATAATATCATAAAGAGCTTAAACACTATCGTATTTTTTATCATTAAACTGTACTGATATTATTGAAAAAGATAATTATTGATAACTAGTGTGTGATCCAAATTTTTTCTATTTAATTGAATTTTAATTAATAAAACCATATAATATTAAAAAAAATTTCTTCATAGGTTAATTAAAATACTTCACATTATATTTTTTAAATATATTAAAAAAGTTATTCTTTAAAAATTCAATTAAATACTACTCATTAATTTTAAATTAATATTATTTCTACCGCTTTATCGTGAGAAATATTTAAATATAGATATTATTTACAAACTTTAAACTCACAAATACTATACATGTATGAAATTGAAATAAATATTCTGCTAAATATGATAAAATTAATAATTATTGTGTCAAGGTTATTTTAATATTATTATTGCTATCAATGATTCTTGTATTTCATAACACTTTGTTCAATTTTTTATCATTTAATCTTCAATTAAAAACAATAATATTATCAATTTTCATTTTTATGTTTATGTCTTTGCTGTAAACAACAAACTTGAATATGGTTTTTAAAAAGTAAAATATATCTCAATAAAAAAAAAAAAATTGCGGTTGTTTTGAAAAATTTGAAAAGAGTAATAAGTAATGAGTGTACGTGTTTTTAATTCACAGTATACTTGTAAATACAGTATTTTTTTTTACAATTTATTTGTATTATAACAAGTACATTATTTACATACATATATTTACAATGTGGCTGCAATTTAGCTTAAAAAATTGCCATTTAGCTCATTAATAATTTATCATTTCATTATATATGAAAATTAAGTTAGCCGACATTAAAAAATTTTTAGAAATTTTTTTATTGAAAAAATTCCAATTAAACTATTAAAAAAAAAATTTCACATGTAAAAAACTTGAAAAACTATAAGTGCAATTTTTTATAAATCTTTTTTTAGTTGTTGTAATTTAATTTAAAAAAAAAATCAAAAATTTTTAGATATCGGCTAACTTAATTTTCATCATTATATTTATAATGTTGGTCCATGTTGTGTTTGGCTTCTCACATTATTTTATTCTCTTTTCATTAGTAATAAATTATTTTCTCTAGAGTGAATATTATTATAATATGTTATATTTTAACTCAGTAATTTTTACTTAAGTTGAATGATGAAAAATATTGTAAAAAGAAAAAAAACATCATATTTACTCACTTATCTATAAATATAGTATCTTTGGTAGCACGCGGCTTGCGAGTGTTCATCCAGGTTATCCCCACTTCATCTAACTGTTTTCCCCTCTTGGTTGTTATGAATACAGCGCATTATAAAGACGGAAGAAGGTTGTTTACTCCAGTTAGTCAATTTTACTCGGCTGTTCTATGAAGATTATTCTGTGTTCGGTTTTTCTTTATAACAGTTGTTATTGTTTTGTTTATTGATATTAAAAATTTCCATACATATTAATAATAAAATAAACAGTTTGAAACATCAATATTTACAAACAATCATTATATGTCTCAGTAATAGTTGCTTGTTAAAAAGTTCACAACTTTGAACAAGTTAGAAACTTTTTTCTTTATTGTTTTTGTTTTGTTTTTATTTACTATAACACATAATGCCTGTTGAAATAGAATCGATTAACTCAACACACATTGCTTCAAATAGGTAAAATATATAATTATATAGTCAAATATAAATTATTAATAATAATAATGAAAATTAATTTAGCAGATATTTTATACATTTTGTAACAAATAAATTATGGCAAAAAAAATAACATGTAGAAATTTAAAAAAATTAAAAATGATTTTTTATAATTAATTTATTCGCTAAATAAAATGAAAAATTGATCAAGTGACTGCTAATTTTAATGTTATCTAATAATGAAAATTAATTTAGCAGATATATGATAATTTTTAGAATTTTTTTTAACAAATAAATTATGGCAAGAAAAATAAGAAAAAAAATATGATGATAAATTTAGCAGATATTTAATAATTTTTAAAATTTTTTTTAACAAATAAATTATGGCAAAAAAAATTAACATGTAGAAAGTTTAAAAAATTAAAAATGTAATTTTTTAAAAATTATTTTTTGGAGCAAATTTTATTGTTAAAAAAAATTAAAAAATTCTCTAGTGACTGCTAACTTTAATGTCATAAAAAAAATTGATATTTAGAAATTTTAAAAAATTAAAAATGATTTTTTAGAATTAATTTATTTGTTAAATAAAATTAAAAATTATTAAAGTGATTGCTAAATTTAATGTTCATCTAATAATATAAAAATTTGAATAATTATCACAACTAATATTCTTTGTTTTTTTATGTTCATAGCGAAACAAAGAAAATGAATAAGCTTTGTCGTCAACTGTCAATCGAGAGTCCTAGCGTAACTGGACGTGACTGCGTCTTTAGTTTTGATGTTCCTGTACCAGATGTACCGATAAAAGGTGCCAGGATACGCGTAGTTTGTGCCGGTGCTTGCTATCATCCGAGACGATCACCAAGTCTGGGAAGTTTAACATCAGTATCAAGTGCAAGCAGCCTTGCAACTGAGAGTTCTGTTGAGTGTGATTTTCCCATGATTCTTCCTCATTATGGTGTTAGAGATGCTGCATTGTTTCCTGGCTATGAAGTTGCTGGTATCATTGAATCGCTTGGATCTGGAGTTACGGATGATTGCAACTTTGTCGTTGGTGATCGAGTCATTTTGTATCCGTTTGAGGGAATACCTAATGGATACGTTGAGTACCTAGTTGTTCATGATCTTAAATATCTAATTAAAATTCCTGAGAATATGTCGCTCAGTATCGCAGCAATGTTGCCAGCTGGTGCTTTGCTTGCTATGAATACAGTTTTTGCTGCTCACGAACACGTACAGGTACATTGCTATTTTTAATTTATAATATGAATAAGTGTTTCATTTGAAAACTAGATTTTTTTCAACTGCTATTTGAAAATTTTTTTTCGTGGAGGATTAAATTATCTAAAAACAAAAAAAAAATAAAATAATGAAAAAAAGTATATAAATTATATCGTTTTCCATTAATAATTGCTTTTGAAATTTTACAGTACATAAAGATTTTAAATAAATAAATTTTCTAAAAAAAAAAAAGAAGATCTTATATCGGTACAATGATAAAAAAATCATAGAATTTAGGTGGATGAAAAATTTTTTTAAGGAAAAAATTCATCTTTACATATTGAGTCCATAAGAGATTTAAAATTCAGAGCTCTTATTTAGAAAAATAAAATATATTAATTATTTTAACACGCATATTTTCGAGTAAAAATAAAAAAAAAATTTTACTTCAAATGAAACACCCTAATGTGTATGAATAGAAATAAACATTGATATTTTTTTTCGACAGCAACTTTTAAAAGAACGTGCGGAAGATCAAGTTTGTAAAATTCTTATAGTAGGTACAGGAGGACTCGCTCTGTGGACACTTAGAATAGCTGCGTATTACTTTAGTAATATGCAAAATAAAGTTACTATTACAGTAGCATCACTGAGAGATGATGGGTTACTTATGGCACAAGAATTTCAACAGTAAGTAATTTTACTACAAATAATATTGAATTTATCATTTATCATAAAATCTTCAAAATGTAATTGATCTACAGATAAAGAATTTTTGACTGTAGAATGAATATTTTCGATTCAAAAAAACATTAATAAATACCGAAATTATTTTAAATCATTTTTTTTTCGAGTTCAAAAAGTTCTCAGTGCTAAGTAAACTTTTTTCAATGTAAATTTCTTCGGAGTTCTATTCCTCAATTATAAATTAACTTGAAAATAATAGTTAAATAGTATCGTTAAGGTGAAAATCAAGTTATATTCAGCTAAGTAGCTCGATTCGTAATTAAAAATTATGACTACGTTCACAGTTAAATGTATGTAGTAATAAAAACAATGTAGATTACTATTTTTGTAGGTTTATTAAATGTAGTTATTAAAAAAACACATGGTGTACTGATAAATTAAAAAAAAAAAAAATTACAACTAAGAAAATTATAAATTTAATGATTCAATCAATCAGAAGCTTACAACCGAATTTATTTTACATTATTTGTAAAAATATAGCTACATCATTTTTGAGATCTTGTTGATTATAGCTTTTTTTTTCTTTTTTTTTTATATTAACACAAAAGTTTTTCACAGCTTTATTGATTTTATTAAAGATAAAAAATTTTATATACTTGTTTATTTTTCTACATTACTTCTATCTATCATTAAATATATTTTATTTATAAATTAAAATTTTCTTTGAAACATGTCATATTTTGACTGTAAAATTTTGTAGCGTAACATTTCTTCATTGAAAAATACTTAGCAGTTGTTAAATGATAAACTTTGATGAAAAAACCGTGATTTTAACAGAGTACTCAGAAGTATTAAGACCATTTTCTTTTTTTATCAACAGAAGCGATATCTTAAAATAGTTAAAATAATTTTTTTTTTAGAAGAAATATTCCATGTTTTTAATTTCAAAGATGTTTTATTCATACTTAAATTATTCAAAAACAAAAAATGATTCAAAAAATATCATTTTAAGAATGTGTAACACGTTTAAACTTATGTCTGTGTTTAAGCGTTAAGTGTAGAAGTGTTATATTAAATAATACAAATTAATTTAACAACTTTAATAAAACATGTATATCAAAAACTCTTTTATATACTTATAATTTATGAACATAATTATTTTTCAGGGTTAATGTAGTTGAATGGAACGAGGGATTATACGAGAAGCAATTAATTGAGCGTACTATGGATGCCTGTCAAGGCCAAGTAGATGTTGTGATCGACTATGGCACCACTTCAAGAAGTCTTCATCGTAGTTTACAATGTTTGGGTAAAGGTGGTGTAGTTTTTGTGATAAAAGAAGTAGCTGATCGTCTTTTACCTAAATTCAGTAAACGCGTTGACGAACGCCAGCAAAATATAAAATCTATAGAACCGGGTAGTCTTGATCAACTCAGCGAGCTCGTACAGTTAGTTGCAAGTGGGAAAATTGAACCGCCACCTCACACAGTCTACCCTGCTGAACAAGCAATGGACGTTGTACATAAACTTTGTCATTCAGAAATTCAGGGTAGGGCAATTCTTCGTTTTCATCCAACAGATTAAATACTTCGTTAATACTAAGTCATTGACAGATAAAAAGGGGCAAAAAATAATTAAATAAAATTTGAAAATTTTTGAATCGATTATAAAATTTTCAAATTGATTAAGCATTAGAGATATGCATGAATACTTAAAGTAAAAAAATAAACTAAGTATCGAATGAGTAGTTTGACATGACCTCTAAAATTGTTTGACATCGCTTATTGCCAGTTTTTATAAAATTCTTATTCTATAATAAGCAATGAAAATACTCATTATACAATTATATACTTATTTATATAGTATTTGATATAAACCATTATTAAAATCTTTACACTACAAATTAAATGAATACATAATCAGGTAGTTTCGTATTTACTATTCAATAAATAATGATAAATTATTGATAAAAGTTCGATATACCCTCATTCTGCATAACAAAAAATTTATACACAAAATGAATTGCTGCAGTAAATTAATGAAGCTATTTTTTGAGTTTTTTTTTTTTTTAATTTCAAATTAATAAAATTTGAATAATAATTGATCACTGTCAGATTTAATAATTTGAAATAATGTGTAAAACAAGAGATGATATTCCAAAAATTTTGTTGAAAGGATATTTCACAACAGATATTTTTTATTTAAACTATATAATGGATAATAGAATAAGTAAAATGAAAAATTGCATCAGGCAATTGTAAAAGAAGGCAAGTGTTTAGAAATCACATCAGTATTTTTCAATTGTGTTTCGTAATGGAAATGCAAATACACTAACTATAAATATTTAACACAAACTCGATAAAAATAATTAAACAATAACGTAGAAATTTAACTACGGGGGACACTTTTTTCGAACTTTACTAAAATCATAAGTGAACGAGTTTACTGTGAAAATTGGTTAGGTATTACTAATATGTTAGTGAGTTGTATGTATATACATTCAATTTTTGTACTTATAAAAGACTGTTTGCTTGTATTATAATTATTAATTAATAATTTTTTCAAAATAATTGTTGATTGCCTTACCAGCAACGGCTACAGACTGTGTGTTATTAATTGTATTATAGAAATTATTACAATAAATATGTTTATTAAGAATCTATCATTTTTACTTATTGTTTATTCTAAAATCATTGTTGAAATCAAATGAAATATTTGTGAATGTGGCGATGCATATGCTTAGTTCAGTCAGTAAAGAAAATATCGCAGTGATAGTACATTTTTTTTTTTTTCAATTTTAATATTAAAATGAGCGATAAAATATATTTGTTATTATAACTAAATTAGCAGTAGAGCAATATGAGTAGTCTATTTTGAGTTTTCCAATCTCGATTCAAACTTTTCGCTATAAAGATATGCACTGTAAAAAATTTGCGGAGTGAATGAGGACTGAATAATTTTTAATTGATTCACTCCCAGCGGGAGTGATATTTACTCCGAGAAGGAGTTAATTTTTATTAATAATAAAATTCACTCCGCATTCACTCCCAAAATAAATGAATTTAGAAATAAATAAATTTTTGTGAAGAAAATATTTTTATAAACCTTTTTTATATTTAATTATTAAAAATTTAATTTATTATTTTTGATAATATTTCATTTTAATCATTATTATAATGTTTTTATTTTTTTATTTTATAAATTAATTGTAATTAAAAATTTTCAAAAAAAAAAAAATATATATATATATATACACCCGACAGACGTTGTCATGTACACACGGCTTAAATTAAGAAATTTTAGGAATGAGCTTGTATAGTTAAAAACATCATTAGTTAACAATATGCAATGGGCATTCTTCAATAATTAACATTTTCGTAAATATAAGCCCATTTTGATTTTATACTCATCAAGAGCTTTCACTTGAGTACCCACATGCATTTTTATATATTTTATATATTTATATATTTCACAAATAACATATAAATAAAATATATAAAAAATGTCATGTGTGGGTACTCAAATGAAAGCTCTTGATGAGTGTAACATCGGAATGAGCTTATATCGTTAAAAACATCATTAGTTAACAAAATACATCATCATTCGTTAATTATTAACATTTTCATAAATAAAGTCCATCATGATTTTGTAAACTCATCGAGACCTTCCATTTGAGTACCCACATGAATTTTTTCATATATCTTATATATATGATATTTATAAAATATATGAAAAGTGCATGTGGGTAGTCAAGATCAACAACAATTTATAAAAAAAGAATCTGTTAAATAAACATTTTCTCGTGGACTGATTTCCTTATTTTATTTATTTTAAAAACTCCGATCGCGGATTTTTTTCGGAGTGAAATTTGAAAGCACTCCGAAATCACTCTGAAATCACTCCGCAAATAAAAACTCTGGATTCACTCCCTACGCGGAGTGATTAATTCCTTCACTCCGGAAGTCCGAGTGATGGGAGTGAAATGAGAGTGAAATTCACTCCGGATTTTTTACAGTGTGGGTGATTCTCTGTAAGGATGTTTTTTGCCGTGCCAGGCATTTTTTTATTAGAAAAATTGTTATTTTGTTACTAAAAAAAATTTATTATGAAAGCAAAAAAACATTTCTATTTGGAGCATTGAAAATTAAAATGAAATAAATTTTGGTTTTTTTGCTATAAATTCGTAAACCACCGAAATGTCAGTCCCCTGGGCTGTCCCAGTCCCAAAATTAAAACTTTAAGATTAAATTTTAAGTTATTCATCAATAATATATAATTTGGTCCATAATATTTATAAACTTAATTAGTTAATTAACAATCTTCTTCAATAAAAAGTACCGAAAGTTAATTTGTTTCATTAAATTCATTAAACCAAAGTTTGTCCCAGGCATTTGAGATCAGTCCCCTGCCAGAAGTTTAAAGCAAAAAAAAAAAAGTCTAGCGTGTTATTTTACCTTTTTTAAGGTTTATAAGGATCTAACTAGCCTTAAGTTAATATCCATACGGCTGTTAGCGCTTTATCGCCATTTTATTTAGTGTCAAAGCACCGTTTGTGCTGGAAATATGTGTTTGGGCCACTTCAAAACTCAGTCCCCTGGCAGCTATTTTTGTTTATAATTTATTTATAAAATTGGATCCATAAGTCTTAATATTATTCTAATTAATGTAAACATTCATTGAGAACTTAAAAAGTTGAGTGCATTGAAATAGTTTGCTTAATTTTTCTCAATTTGATAAAAAAAATCAGTCCCCTGTCATGTTATATGGCAAAAGATACACAAATATCGAAAAATCATAAATTAATTCGGCTGTTTATTTATTATAATTAAGCTGATAGTTTTGTAGCCCTTGTTAATTTTTTTTCCAATAAAATCAAAAATAATTTGACCGGACAATTTTGTACAGATTTAAGACGTCCTTACAGAGAATCACCCATATAGTAGATTTTCATAATTTAGGAAGATATCAAATTTAATTCTAATAAGTTAAATTTTTGCCTTCTACTATGAAAACAAACGATTTTCAAAAATTGAGAAGTTCTTCACGTTTTGAAATCCTAGAAAGCAATTCTGACTTCTAAGATTGTCACTGTATGACCAAGATTTTACTTTTTGGTATTTGAGTATATAGGTCTATTTTTATTAATTATTTAAGTATTAATGGAAATATTTATTATGATTATGGCGGTGATTATTATTTAATTATTGTATGTATTTAGTTAATAATATTATATTAGTGTTACCGAAGGTGTGATTAAATTAAGAAATTAAGCGTGTGAGAATTTATTTTGAAGCCGAGCGAATTAAGCGAGCAAAAGAAAATAATTGTAAAAAAAATTAAAAGACCGGGGAAATTATTCTAAGTCCCAAGCCGATTTAGTATGGGAAAGCGGCGAATGGATATAAAATGAAAGAAATGACGATTAATATTTGTAAGAAATATTTTAGGTAAGCGGAAATTTTATAAGTCCCAAGCAAGTTTTAGTATGGGAACTCGACGAATGGATAGAGAATGAACGAAATTACGATTAAAATAATAAAGAATTGTGAATTTGCCGAAACGAATGGATGTATAATGAAAGAAATAACGATTATTATTTTAAAGAATTGTGTTTGAAAAATAAAAACTTAGAAAATTTTCGACAATTGATGAGCTTGCGCGAGCCTCGATAGATGGCGAAGATGTTTCGTTTGTAGTGATAATTCAAAAATATGTTAAGTTCCGTTTTGAAAATGATTTTGACAAGCAATTCTTTCTCTGGAGAATTACTCGGGCGAATACTCTTCACCAAGTAATTCTAGAGGATGATACTCTACCTGGAGTCTTACCAAGACCCAGGTAAGTATCAGGGACCGACTGGATGAAAGTGCGACTCCCCGTGCCGAGGCCTTCAGCTGAGGTACGGTAGGTGATCATAAGCCGTGCAGGTGGGAGCAAGGAGGATACTCTCCACTTGCTCTCAGGGTAGAGTTTAGGACCCCACAGAGATGACGGCTAGTCGCCCTAGGGGGAGGGGGGTGTTATTGGGAAACTAGATGTATTTTGTAGGCCGCGAATATCGTCGTGTATGTTTTGGATAGAAAGTTTCTATTGTATTAGTTTATATTGCTTACATTGTTTATATTGTTTATTGATTTCGAACCGCGTTAATGATTTTGAATCGCGAATATGTGTGAAAAGAGTGTTCTAATGTATTGTTTATACTGTTAATTTGTTTAATTTGTTTATATTGTTTATTAACATGATCAGGTCAATAAAGAGGTTTTTCTTTATTTTGATTTATTTAAAATGAAGTGTTTTCTTGATATTTTGTTATATTTTGTAATCCCCGTTTATGACCCTGGACTTCGGCGAGCTTCAGATTCGAGCAACGGGGACGTTTGTGTCGCAGTATACGTTCATTTGTTTTAGTTTATTTAAAAACACTCAAAAATTACCCGTTACAACTGTGGGTATGTGATGTGTAAATTCCTTATAACATTTGGAAGGTCTGATCACAACGCGTTTGAACGAGCTCTATTGCCATTAGATTTCATGTGAATTCAAATGAGTTAAACATGAAATCTCCAAAATAAAATTAAAAA